CTCTCAACTAAATTGTTCTGGAGGTCAGAAGTCCAAGATTAAGATCTCAGCAGGGTTGGTTTCTTCTGAGTCTGTATAGAAGAATCTGCCCCATCCTTCTCTCCTCACTTTTGGTGGTTGCTGGCAGTCTGTGGAGAACCCAGTTGCAGAAGTTTTCACTGCCATCTCTGCCTTCACTTTCACATAGCATTCTTCCTATATGCCTGCCTATGTCCAGATTTCCCATTTTGTAAGGAAACCAGTCATGTTGGATTAGGGGCCCACCTTACTTAGGGGTCCAGTAGGACCTTGTCTTCACTAATTATGTCTGCAATAACCCATTTTCCAAATAAGGTCACGTTGTATGATACTGGGGTTAGGATTTAACATACAGGTTTGGGAGGGACTCAATCCATAACAAGTAAAGCCTGTGTTCTTTGCCTCCTTGCTTTCTCTCTCTCTCTCTCTCTCTTTTTTTTTTTTAAGATTGACTTATCTATTCATAGATCTTTATTCTTGATCCAGACTTTAGAATAAATTTATAAATTTCCTTTTTTTAAATCCAGCTGAATTTTGTAAATGGGAATTACATCAAATTGATAGATTAATTTGAGAAAAAAATTGACCTCAGTACTCTATAAAGTCATCCATCCAAGACCATGGGGTAACTCTCCATTTATTCAGATATTCTTTTCTCTTTTTGTATCCTTTTTTACTCCATAAACGTCCTGCATTTTCTACAGTGAAGTCCTAGATTCTGTATAGTTGTTGCTACTATGACTGCTGCCTTCTTTTGACTGCATTCTCCAATTAGGTCTTGCTGGTGGTATGGAGAAACAGCACTGTTGTACTTATAAGTTGCCTTTGTATTTGACAGCCTTGCTTACCACCTGGTTCTAATGGTTTGTCTATTGTTCATGTTGGTTTTAGATGTAACTGATCATATCATAAGCAAATACAGTTTAATCTCTTCACCTTCAATTTTTGTACCCTTTCTTTTTTGTTTCTTATAGCATTGGCCAGGGCCTCCAAGACTACATTAACAGGAGTAGAAACAGTGAGCAGACTTGTGGTCCTATCTTAAAAGGAATGCATCTAAAAGTTCTCTATTAAGTGTAATGCTTGCTAGATGCATGGTATATGATCTTTACCGAATTAAAGATGTTCCTTTATGATTTCTTATTTGCTGAGCGGTTCTGTCATAAATAAATGTTGACCTTTATTAAATGCTCTTTTTTTTTTTTTGCACTTTCTCTATGTGATAATCATGTTCTTTTTCTCTTATGTTGGAATTTATATTAATAGACTTGTATTCCTAGAATCCTACTTGATTATGATATATTTAAATATACTCTGGATCCAGTTATCTAGTTATATAGGATATCCCAAAAAAATGTATACACACTTAACAGCTGATAGCTCAATTGGTGTTTCTTTTCAGATTTAATCCATTGGAATTTATAATTATTCAAAGTATGTATACATTTTTTGGGACACCCTGTATATGTGTGTTTATATATGAGGTGGACCTCTAATTTGCTTTCTTTTAACAAACCTTATTTATTTCAGAACCAAAATTGGACTGGCCCTATAAAATAAGTTTTCCTGCCCTGGCTGGTTTGCTCAGTGGTTAAAGCATCAGCCTGCGAACTGAAGTATTGGGTTCAATTCCAGTCAAGGGCACATACCTCAGTTGCTATTCAGTCCCCAGCTCTGGTTATGGTGGTGCAAGAGGCAACCAATCGAGGTGTCTCTCTCACATCGATGATTCTTTCTCTCTCTTTCCCTTCCCCCCTCCCACTCTGTCTGAAAATAGATGGGAAAATATCCTCAGGTGAGGATTTAAAAAGAAAAAAGATTTCCTGCTCTTTTTCTCTGGAATAATTTGTATAAGATAGCAAGTGTCTTCCAAAGGTTTTTGTTTTGTTTTTTAACTTTTTTTTTCCTTTACTAATTTTAGAGAGAGAGGAAGTGAGAGGGAGAGAGAGATAGAAACATCGATGAGAGCCCGGCTGGTGTGGCTCAGTGGTTGAGCGTCAACCCAGGCACCAAGAGGTCGCTGGTTCGATTCCCGGTCAGGGCACATGCCCAGGTTGTGGGCCCAATGGGGGCATGCAGGAGACAACCAGTCAAAGTTCTCTCTCATGGATGTTTCTATCTCTCTCTCCCTCTCCCTTCCTCTCTCTCTAAAATCAATAAAGAAAAAAGAAAAAGAAACATCCATGAGAGAAAACATCGACTGGCCACCTCCTGCATGACCCCCACTGGGGATTTGGCCCACAACCTGGGCGTGTGTCCTGACCAGGAATCGAACCAGTGACCTCTTTGTGCATGGGTCAGTGCTCAACCACTGAGCCACACTGGCTAGACTCCAAAGGTTTTGAGAACCCACCAATGTGATAGGATTCTTCTGAGCTGGGGCTTTTGAGCAGACAGACTTTGATTACTATTACTGGCCTATTTATTCATGTTTTCCATTTATTCTCAGGCCCATTTTGGTATATTTTTCTATTTTTCTCCAAAATGTATCTTATTTTGTTTAAGTTTTCAAAATGTTTTAGCTCATAGTTCTTCATAATGTTCTTTTATAAATTTTTAAAATCTCTTTCATTCACCATTTTTTATTTGCATTTTCTTTTTTCCTTATTGAGTCTTACCAGAGATGTGTCTGTTCTTTAATAATCTTTTCAAAGAACCATCTTTTTTCCCTCAATATTCTTTATTATTTATTGTTCCTTATTTCATTGATTTCTATCCTCACTTTTATTATATTCTTTCTTTCTTCTTTGGGTTTACTCTGTAGCTCATTTTAAACTTCTGAAATGCATGCTTAACTCATGTTTTATTTTATTTTTTTATTTCCTAAAAAATTTTACTTAAAGTTAAAATTTTCAGTGCTGGCCAGTTTGGCTCAGCATTTAGAGCGTTGGCCCGCGGACCAGAGAGAACCGGGTTCGGTTCCCACTAAGGGCATGTACCATGCGGTTTGTCCCTGGCCCTGGTTGGGTCATGTGGGTGACTACCAGTCGATGTCTCTCTCAACATCGATGTTTCTTTCTCTCTCTCTCTCTTTCTCCCTCTCTCCCTTCTGTTCTATCTGAAGATAAATATAAAAAATAATAAATTTTCATAGTGGCTGCACTAATTTACATTCCCACCAACAGTGTACAAGGATTCCCTTTTCTCCACAACCTCTCCAACACTTATTTCTTGTCTTATTGATAATAGCCATTCTGACAGGTGTGAGATGGTGTCTCATTGTGGTTTTGATTTTCATTTCCCTTATAACTAGTGATGTTGAACATCTTTTCATGTTTGTTACCCATTTATGTGTATTCTTTGGAAAAGTGTCTATTTTGCCCATTTTTTAATCAGATTTTGTTGTTGTTGAGTTGTGTGGATTTGTTATATATTTTGGATATTAGCCCCTTATCAGAGGTATCATTTGCAAATGCCTTCTCCCATTCGGTTGGTTACCTCAAACACACTAACAAAACAAAAACAAACTTGGATGCACACAACAGAATGGTAGTTACAAAAGGGGAGAGGAAGGCAGGGGAGGGGAATGAAGGGAAAGGGGGTTAAATATATGGTGACAGAAGGAAACTAGACTTTGGGTGGGGAGCATGCAATTGGGTATACAGATGTTGAATTATAGTCTTGTACACCTGAAAATTATATAATGTTAATCAATGTGACCCCAATAGATTTAATTTTAATTTTAATTTTTTTATCCTCACCTGAGGATATTTTTCCATTTTTTGTTCAGATAGAATGGGAGGAAGAGAGGGAGCGAGAGAGAGAAACATTGACGTGAAAGGGACACATCGAGTGGCTGCCACCCACACGACACAACCAGGGCCAGGGACAAACTGCAACTGAGGTACATACCCTAAGCAGGAACTGAACCTGGGTCTCTTCGACCACAGGCCAGCACTCTAACCGCTGAGCCAAACCAGCCAGGGCTAGATTTAATTCTTAAAATAACGAAACGTTTTTATAAAGTTAAAAATTACCCACAAGTACTGCTTTAGCTGTGGCCCTCAAATTTTGACAAAAGATATTTCATCCTAAGTATATTTTTCACATTTTAACATCTCTGGAATTGAGATCCCATTTTGTAGTCAATGGCATGACATATTTCAAGTAGTAGTTTTTTGCTTTTTTTAGTGGTATGTAAAATTAGGGTGCATCTTATGCTCAATGGCATCTTCAGTGTAGTAATATACAGCACTGTATTTTAATTATCATCCAGCTCTAAGTATTTCATAATTTCTCTTCTGTTTTTTGTTTAAGCTCAGTCGTTTTTTAAGTAATATGCTATTTTTTTTCATGTTATGAGATGTTTTTAGCTATTATTTTGTTAGTGTCTGATTCTATTACCTTAAGGTCAGAGAATACAGTTTGTATATTATTTCCTAAGAATTTATTAGGACTTCCTTCTGTCCTCAGCCCTTTTGTGTCTTATTTTAAGAGTGTCTCTTATAGACACACAGGAACACAGTGCTTTTTTGTCCCCTGCTGGTCCCTCAGCATCTGCCATGGTTAAAAGCCTGGGCTCACAAAGTCACACAGTGGTGAGTATGAACCCAGCTAACCTTCACCCAAATGCTTTGTCTTTCTGAGCCTCCCTCTCTGTCTCAGAGAAGTGGGGATTACAACATCTACCAGGAGACTTCTGCAGGGGTCAGATGAACTTGTTGGTGGCTGTGCCCTGCACATAGGAATAGCTTCTGAACATTCAGGCAGATGCAACTTTGAAGGTCCTTTGCAGAAAGGAGCATGGACTGTTTGTGAGGAAACAAAAAGCTTCATTACCTCCTGCTTGGCCGTTCTTTCTGTTCAACACTGGATCAACACTGGGAACCTTGATCCAGTTTGCCTTCCAGGGCTCTGGGGATGAGCAGCAGTGAATGAAATGCTCTTGAAATTGTTATGAAAGTACCAAGTGAACAGTCAAACCCTACAGAAATGGGGGTGAGGGAGAGGCAGATTTTGACCCACCGGCCTTGCTTTTGTAGGATACAGAGAGCAGTTTACAGCAAAAGAATGAAGTCATCACATCTTTTAAAGAAAAAATCAATCAAGTTATGTCCGACATGAAACAGATGGAAGAAAGGTAATCACTTCCCCAGGAAGATATTCCCTAGAAGGTGCTGGGCATTTTCTGAGCCTGGGGACTTACTCAGAGTCCCTCTCAAAAGTACAGACAGGTTGCAATGGCTGTCCTTCAAGTTCATAGTCTTGCTCAGCAAGGGGGCATGTATTCACTCAATTAGCCTTTGGGCTGCTGAATCACATAGTATCCTCTCAGGGGATCAGGGCTTTCTAGGGAGCTCATTGTCGCTGTCACATTTAAACAGCAGGTCAGTAGTGGATCAGAATAGAGTCTAAAAATAGACCCACACAAATATGGACAACTGATTTTTTACAAAAGTGAAAAGGCAGTTAAATGGAGACAGAATAGTATTTTCAATAAATGATGTTGGAACAATTAGACATCTATAAACAAAAATATAATCTCACAGTTTTATATAAAGATTAACTGAAAATGGATCATCAGCCTAAATATAAAACTCAAAACCATAAAATTTTTAGAAGAATACATAGAAAGTCGTTATGACCTTGGGTTATACAAAGAGCTCTTAGACATGACAAAAGCATGATCCATGAGAGAAAAACATGATAAACTACTTTATCGGAATTTAAAACTTTTATTCTGTTAAGAGAATCAAAATACAAGTTATAGATTGGGAGAAAATTTGTAAATCACATGCTATCTGACAAAAGATTTGTATTCAGTGTATATAAAAAAAACTTTCAAAACAAATGCACAAAAGACTTGAACAGAACTTCACCAAAGAGGGCATAGAGATGGCAAAGAAGCAATTAGGGAAGTGCATATTAAAATCATGCTGAGGCCCTGGCCGGTTTGGCTCAGCGGTTAGAGCATTGGCCTGTGGTCCAGAGAGACCCGGGTTCGGTTCCCACTAAGGGCACGTACCTCAGTTGCAGTTTGTCCCCGGCCCTGGTTGGGTCGTGCAGATGGCAACCACTCAATGTGTCCCTTTCACATCGATGTTTCTCTCTCTCTCTCTCTCTCTTCTTCCCACTCTATCTGAACAAAAAATGGAAAAATGTCCTCGAGTGAGGGTAAAAAATAAATAAAATAAAATAAAATCATGCTGAGATGCCTCTATACACCTATTAGAACAACTAAATATTTTATTAATGACAACACCCAGTGTCTGGTGAGGCTATGGAGCTACTAGAACTCTCATATAATACTGATAAGAATGTAAAATGGTACAGCCACTTTGGAAAACAGTTTCTTACAATGAAGCTGATTATACTCTTACCATATGACTCAAAAGCCCCACTCCTGGCTATTTTCCCAAGGAGGATAAAAACTTATATTCAAACAAAAGTCTATACATAAATCTATAGCAGCACAATTCATAATTGCCAAAATCCAGAAGCAACCCAGATATCTCTCATCAGGGGAATGAATAACCAAACTGGCACTATATACACTGAAATACTGTTCAGCCATAGAAAGGAATGAACCATTGCTACACAAAAAAGTGGACAGATCTTGAAAGTGTTATACCAAGAGAAAGAACCCAATCTCAGAAGGTTATAGGAATAATCTTATCAAAAAGACAAAGCCATAGTGTCAGAGAGCAGCTCAGTTGTTGCCCAGGGGTTAGGGATGGAAAAGGGGGTGTGGTGGCTATAGGGGGCAGCACTGGAGAGTTTTCTGGGGCAATGAAACTGTTCTGTTTCCTGGTTACACAGTCTTGACATGTGCTAAAACTCATGAAACTGGACACACGAGTCACTTTTACTGTATATTAATTAAGATAAAGGAAAAAACTAAAGCCAGCAAGAATATGAAAATTTTCTACATTAAATTGGAGCTTTGATCCTTTACTTTGGTCCAGGTTACAACATTCAGAAAGGGTGCGGCAGGGTGCTGAGGAGCGGAGCCACCAGCTGCAGCAGGAGCTGGGCTGCAGGACCAATATGCTGCAGGAGCAGCTCTCCCAGCTGCACAGCCAGTGGTAGGTGCCCCAGCTGGGGGCCAGTGGCAGGGGGAAAGTGGCTCCCATTGGGGCAGACAGTATACTGTTTCATACCCCTGCAAGGCTGGAATCGGGGTGAATATAAGTGTGCTGTAAAGTACAAAGGCCAATGATGAGAGATGTCTGTATACCCTATTTCACAAGGGAGAAAACAGCCTGAGGGGTTCAGTACCCTCATGGGGCACACACTCTTGACCCTCGGTAGCTATCTCCTCACCCCCAACCCCCTGGTATCCTACATCATTAGCTGGCTCAGGGTAGAAAAGGCAGAATCCATGTCACACTTTCTCCTCTAGTCTCCATCTCAGTAGAGGGTTCTGCTGTGCGTGCCTGAGTGTGTCAGGGCTCTTCCCTTTCTCTCTATTCGTGGACTGTCAAGTGTGTGCCTGCACCTCCTTTCTCCCACGTGTTCCTGGTCTGTGTTGTGGAGGGGGAGACAGCCCTGGGGGAGAAGGAGTCTTGTTTCTATGCTTTGTTGAAGGGTAAAAGCTCATGAGGCAATTTATGTGAATCCATTTCCTGTGTGGTGTCTTGAGTTGGATTGTGGATTTTCCATGAAAATCTCCCACTGAGACTAACTCACATTCATTTTGGGAAAACAGCTCAAGTCTAGAGAAAGAGTGGAAATCAGAAAAAGAACAAAGGCAAGCTCTTCAACAAGAATTACAGTGTGAGAAAGACACCTCCTCTCTCCTCCGAGCAGAGCTACAACAAGTGGAAGGATTAAAAAAGGTAAGGTGGACTGTCCTCAGGAGGAAAAGAGCTTCTAGCATCTCAAGAAATTTCTGCTGAAGCACCTGCCATGACCCTCGCCACCCCAAAACTGGGTCTCCTATGCACCAGGGGTCTGAAGTCTGGGAGGCACTGCCCCTGCACCCTCACTCAGAGCCTTTGCTCTAGGAGAAAAGAGTAAGATGGAGCAAAACCCACTGAGCAAACCAGAGACTCAGTGAAGAGAATAAAACAGGAAACTGTCCCCACAGTGTGGCGAGGGTGGTCTGGGAAAAGAGTGATAGTTAACCAGAGACTTGAAGGACATGGAAAAGACAACCAGGCAGAGATTTGGTCAGAGACACCAAGAAGTGTGAGGGTGTGTCATAGTGAAGCAGAGAAAAGGCTGCGTGGCTGAGGTGTGACGAGCAGAGGGAGGAGGCGCTTGAGCTGAGGCCTCCAGTGGACAGCCAACCGGGGGCCCTTGAAGCTGTGTAAACAAATTTGGGTTTTATTCTGAGCATGATAAGAAGCTTTTGGAGGGGCATAACTCGTTTCATTTTAAGATCATCACCACCTGCTATGTGGAGAATGGGTAGTAAGTTTGCAAGAGAGGAAACAAATTAACCAGTCAACACTGTCAGCAAATGCCAGTCCACACTTCACCCCAGAGATGGGTTGGCCACCTGGTCCTTGGTCATCCCCAGGAAGCCTACTGAATTAGGGCCCTAAATCTTCCCTAGATTAGACCTAAATCTAGTTTACCCCTGGAGTTCCCTCCTTCCTCTGGATGCCTCACTTCACCTGAAGGTATGGCCTAGATCCTGTGAAGCTCCAGAGCAGGAAAGTGGGGATGTCAGCACAGCACTGCCATCTGATTGTGGAATGTGGGACCTCTCTGAAACTCAGGTAGTCTACATTCTTCCCCCTACTATAAAATTACCATACATCCCCAGAAAGACAAAGGGGCCTGGCAGTTCTGGTCAGAGTTGGCTGCCATCTAGGGATCCGCGGGGCATCTCTGGCCTCCATAGCTTCTCCTGATGGGACTGATGCCAGGCTCAGGGGACTGCCAAGCCATAGATGGCCTTCCCACACCTCATCTCTGGAGGAGGATCCTTGGGGCTGGGGCAGATTCCAGACCTAGATTTGTTGTGTTTAACATGGTAATGAGTACCGTTGCACAATTTGAATGAGCCAAGAAAGGCCCTTTTGATTTCTGTTGGCAAGTGCCTAGGGCCTCTTGTGACAGATCCCACCAGGCCATGGGTGGGATCACAAGGGAGGAGAGTTGCAAGAGCCAGTGAGTCTCAGAGAGGGGAGGAGAGGCAACAGGGGGTAGAAGAAGACTTCTAGAAACCTCTACTGTGTCATGGAACATACCCCCTTTACTCCACCTCAGTGTACTTTGGTGTAAATTTTGAATTCCACACCCCCACCACCACACACATACACAAAAGAGAAAAAAAAAAACATGTCTGAGGTCACCAGTAAGACTCGGTCAACAGGCTCTGGTGCAGAAGGCCCAGGGATGGCTATGGGGAAATGCCCACCACTGAGGCATAGGACCTATGGCTACCTATGGTCAGCCCTGGACCCCAAATTACTTTCTGGGTCTGCATTTGGCCCTCATTAGCCTATGTCCTCCAGGTGCACTGGCCCCAAATTACACACCTCATCAAGGGTGTTCCCTTATTCCCCAGGCACTGCTCCTACACAGGGTTTCAGGGCCTCCAGAAAGTCTAGCTGTACTCCAGCCATGATGATCTTAGCCTTCATCCATCAGCCTTATTCATTCTCAGGAAATTTGACCAGCCCTTTCTAAGAAGAGTTCATTCAAATGAGCCTTGGTTGCTATAAATTCATGTAATTTTGTACAAGGTTCATCTGTGTATTTTATGAGGTGTAGTTTTTTTAAAAAACCTTTCTATAGAAGCTCTGGCCAGTGTGGCTCAGTTGGTTGGAGCATCGTCCCTTACACTGAAAGGTTTGATTCTTGGTCAGGGCACATACCCAAGTTGTGGATTTGATCCCCAGTCATGGGAGGGTATGGGAGGCACTGATCGATGTTTCTCTCTCACATCAATGTTTCTCTCTTTCTCCTTTCCTCTCTCTAAAATCAATAAAAATGTATCCTGAAGTGAGGATTTAAAAAAAAAATCTTTTGCCCTAGCCGTTGTGGCTCAGTTGGTTGAGTGTCGTCCTATGCACCAAAAGGTCGCTATTTTGATTCCCAGTCGGGGGTGTGTGTGGGAGGCAACAGGTCAATGTTTGTCTCTCACAATGTTTTTTTTTCTCTCTCCCTTCCTCTCTTAAAAAAAAAAAAGTCAATAAGAGCATTTTAAAAATCTTTTAATAGAAACTCAGACAGGCAAAGTCATATTTGCCCTGAGGTTGACTGTTTTGAATGTTGTTTGATGAACCTACATAGCTGCTTCCTGTCCCATGTCACACTGTTCCTGCTGCAGAGCTACTCACCTTCCATTTGCCCATTCTGGAAAAGTAAGCTAGTGAGAAGTAACCCATGAAATTGCCCTGTATTGAATGAGGTTAGCACAACAAAACTGCCTTTTACTTGAAAAACATTCTGACCTGCTTGTTGCCATGATTACAAACCTTATAAAAAAAGGACTTTTAGCCCTGGCCAGTTTTGCTCAGTGGTTAGAGTGTCAGCCCATGGACCAGAGTCCTGGGTTTGGTTCCCACTAGGGGCACATACCTTGGTTGCAGTTTGTCCCTGGCCCCAACTGTGCCATGTGGGTGGCAGCCAGTCGATGTTTCTCTCTGACACTGACATTCTCTCTCTTCCCCCTCTCCCTCCTGCTCTATCTGAAGATAAATGCAAAAATGTCCTCAGGTGAGGATAAGAAGAAAAAAAAAAGACTTTCAATTCTGTGTCAAGTGTCTGGTTTGTTCATTTTAGAAGCTGCGAGAGCTCCAGGATGAGAAGGCAGAGTTACAGAAGGTTTGTGACGAGCAAGAGCAAGCCCTCCAGGAAATGGGACTGCATCTCAGCCAGTAAGAACCTCCCCATGAAGAATCTGGCCATCAACATGACTCGAGTCCCAAATCTATGTCCTGTTGTCAGAGGAGGGAGAACCAGTCAAGGAGGCCTCCCCAGGAAGTCAGTCCTCAGGGGCACAGAACCCTCGTGTTCACTAACTTAGTATCTAGGTCCCAGGGGAACCAGACGGGTGCTGAGAGGGTTGCTTGTTCAGCCTGCTGTGCTGCACCTGCCTTTCTCAGGAGTCCATCAGTCTCCACAGGGCGGTGCTGAAGTAGTGCAAACCCTGGGAGTTCTGTCTCCCTTTTGACTTCACAGCTTTCCCTGGTGTTCCTATCCTGCCAGGACAATCTGATGGGTCACACTGCAAATTGTGGAACTTGTCCATTTGTGTGGTCATTGCATTTCCAAACCCAGTGGACAGCTTTGTTCCCTTATGAGTCAGTGTTCTTGGTTGCAAGTGACAGAAATCCAACTCAAACTGACTTAAGCAAAAAAATTCATCATAATTAGTCTGTACCTCCCACCTCTGCTATCCTGTCGCTTACCTCACAGGTAGATCTGGCCCCCACTGGGGCAGAAGGGTGCTCAGCAGTTTCTATGAGAACACAAGTTCTTCTTTCTCCAGCACTCCCACAGAGACCCCAGGCTGCCTCACTGTTCCCACCTGAATCCTCACACAAGTGCAGTGACCAAACAGATGGGGGTGACCAGCACAGCCTCAGCTCAGGCCCAGTACTGAATACAGTGTGACCAGGAAGGTACAGAGGTGGGGACCAACATGAGAATAAATTATAAACACTAAAGTATGACACAGATCTGCACCACCTTATGGTTTTTCTTAGTCTGGAAAATTAGAAAGTTTAGATAAAGCAGTGCTCTAGGCTGGCCCACAAAAGTTATTAAGGAAATGTTAAGGCTCTGGTTGGTGGATGTGAGGTGAAGATCCTGTCTCACTCATTGTATCTTTCTAGACCAGCTCAAGGCTACTGATCCCTTCCACTCTGAGGCCTAACTGCCACCTCTCCCACTGAGTGCCCTGCACTGCTCTGTCTTCTGGCTAGTACTTGTCCCATCCCCATATTGAGGGGGCTCCTGGACAGTGGGCAAGACTAGGTATCCACCCCACACTTGGAGCACAGGCACTCTGAGAGTGTCCATGAGACTAATGCGTACCCGGTGTGGACAATGGTATACAGCTGGCTCCTTGGTTTACTGTTGTGTTCAGAGGGAGGAAGGGAAGGACACCTTGGGTGTGGTCTGTCCCTATACATACCTCCTCAAGTGGCTAGCACCATTTTCTCTCCTGCCTGTCGTCTTCACATTGAACTGCAGTCAGAGAGCACCCTTCAGGCCTCAGAAATATGTATGGATCCTGATCTGGAAAACAAAGCCCTGTACTTGGCAGCCTCGAAGTGCTGCCTGTCTGGCAGGAAAATGCGCCTCATAGCTGGGATGTGCAACAAGAGCAGGACTGTGTGCTGTCACCCCTCTTCTCCTTCTTCTCCTTGCTAGCCCACACCAGGTGACAGAGGAGGGAAAATCTGTCTTCAGACCCTTCACCTGTTACAGACATGGCTGCCCAGTTATTTTGGGAACATCTGGGTTCTTCCTAAGTTTTATTTCTCGGAAGCCTTTGTGTGCTCAGGCTGCCCTTTTGACCTGGTTTCCCAGGGAGTCTGTCTATCCTGGGCAGCCTCTGGGCCTGTCAATCTGCTGGCCAATTTTGGGAAAAAGGGAGGGAGTTCCTGTGATCTTTCTTGAAAGCCAGTGTTTTCTAAAAGCCCTGATGCTTGGTTTCCTGAGCCCTGACCAGAAGTCTAGCCTGTGTCTCAGAGCACTGACATGTTGACCCTTAGAGCAGACAGCTGTGGGTAGGAGTAATAGTTAGGATTGGGGGGGGGGGGGCATTGAGTAAAAAAAGAGAACTCATGGACATGGACAACAGTGTGCTGATTGCGGGGCAGAAGGGGTGTGGGTGGAGGTGGAAGAGGGCATAGAGGGGACAAATTGGTGGTGAAAATGTAAAAAAAAGGGGGGACTGACTATTCTCCCCAAATTAGAGCTTCATTTTTTTTTTCAGTTTAATTCTGCCAGTTTAGGCCACATTCAGTCCTTTTATACGGACATCTAAGGAATTGTTCTTACACAAGAATGGAACAAGAACAAATGATCATGCTCTGACTCCGCAGTCAGCAGGGGGAACCCTGCAGATGTGGCTTTCTGCCATGGGCTTGCGGGGAGCACCCTACACACACCAAGCATGTCATGTGTAGGAATGTTTGCCCAGAGAAGCCAGAAATCTGGGCTTCTGTGAGATAATTCTCAATTTTTTAAATGATTGCAATGATTTCAAAGTCATTTTCAACCCTTGCAGGCTAAAAATCCTGTTTTGGGGCCAGATTCAGTCCAGACTCAGCAGACCTTTTACATGTGAGCCAATGGATGAGGTGACTCTAGGATTATATAAAGGTGGAAAATATTTTAGAACTCATGTAATTATACTCCTAAATTGTTATCCTCACAAAGCGAAACCCTGTGCGTTTGCTTTAGGAGCCTCTCTCACAGCTATGAATTCTCTCCTTTTTTTAAAGGTCAAAGCTGAAGATGGAAGATATCAAAGAAGTAAATAAGGCACTGAAGGTACTGAATATTTCATATTATTAGCATAAGAACCATTCTTGTGGCTGTTGCTACTAGGTTTTCTCACAAAAGCCTGTGGAGAAACGTGTGGTTGAGGCATGGTTCTTATCATTTATTTAAAGATAAAATGCTACCCTGGCCGGTTTGGCTCAGCGATTAGAGCGTCGGCCTGTGGTCCAGAGAGACCCGGGTTTGGTTCCCGCTAAGGACATGTACCTCGGTTCCAGTTTGTCTCCGGCCTTGGTTGGGTCGTGCGGATGGCAACCACTCGATGTGTCCCTTTCACTTTGATGTTTCTCTCTCTCTCTCTCTCTCTCCCTCCCACTCTATCTGAACAAAAAATGGAAAAAATGTCCTCGGGTGAGGATAAAAAAATAAAGATAAAATGCTGCTCAAAGCCATGCCACTGCTGCGATGGCAATGCTGACAAGTGGCAGGTTCCACTTAGAACCAAGGTCTTCTGATTTCTGTTCCTCTGCCACCAGCTGTGCCCTAATGAAGGAGGCAAAAGGTGGCAGAAAGAGGTCCAGGGTTTTTTGGTTTTTTTTTAGTAGTGAGGGTCCCGAGGCCATCCTGCCCCTCTGCGGTGCCTATGCTATTTCTGGGGACCACCGAAACCCTTAGCAGGGCAAGTGTCTGGACCATTTTGGGGAGGGCAGAATGACACACCACTTGAGCAGGAACATGTGGACCAGGAGACCTAGGACGAGTGTCAGGCTGGCCTGTTGAGGTGGGAACAGTGAGAAAGGAAGGGTAAGAGGCTCCAATTTACCGCCCCCTTCCAGGACAGTTCAGAATAAAAGAGACAGTCCACCTGTGGCAGTGGCAGTGGCAGCAGTGCATAGTCACTTCCCCAAGGTACACACTGGAGCAGCGACCTAATGACTGGGTTATCGTACCTACAAGGGCACGCAGGTCAGAGGCAGCAAAGGGTCATAGCACCTATCAGCACCTGAACTTGGAACAACCATCTGTTTATTTTATCCTCCCTTGTAGAGTGAAATGAAAGCTCCTTCCTTCACTGCTGTGAACTGCCTGTCTGCATGTCCCCCCGCACTGCTCACAGCTAATAGCACCAGAGGGAGGGTAAAAAGCATGACTCTAGAGCAGTGGTTCTCAACTTTCCTTATGCCGCAACCCTTTAATACAGTTCTTCATGTTGTATGTGGGCGTATCTGCATGTAGGCAGACCTGCCTGGAGACGGATAGAGGAGCGGTGTCTCAGTTAGGTGACCCTTATGAAAGGGTCGTACAATCCCCAGAGGGGTTGCGACCTACAGGTTGAGAACCGCTGCTCTAGAGCCCCTTTCAAAGCCTCAGTTGCCTCCATTGTACAATGGAAACATCTGCCTCCTCCATGTTGATGTAAGGATCGGGAGTCTTCCCATCTCTGTGGCAAGGACCACTGAGGCAGATTGTTTTTGTCTGGCTAATGGGGTTGGCTCTTCTCCCTCTTGCCAGTTCAGGAGGCACTTTGGAGCACCTCAGCCAGGGTTAGGGTTGCAAGCATCAGATCCTGACTCTTGGTACTCAGCAAGAGGGCATATATTGAAAGAAAGTTAACAGGAAGCTGGAGAATCTGGCTTGAGGCCCAGGGGACAGCATGCAGAGGTTGGAAAACCAGAGCAACAGGGCAGACCGGGTCTGTGAGCCACTTCATGTGAATAAAAAGCATGTAGACTATTAGGAAGGGACAGCAGATACTGGGCAGCCAGAACACAGCTATGGGTCCACCAGGCACCTGCCAATGTGTTTTCCTTCTAGGGCCACACTTGGCTGAAAGATGATGAAGCTACTCACTGTAAGCAGTGTGAGAAGGAGTTCTCCATTTCCCGGAGAAAGGTATGTGGACTGGGCTCCACCATGCGCCCAGGGGCTGGGTTGGTGCCCCACTGGGAAAGCCCTTGGGACCTGGCGCACCACACTGTGGTCATGCACTGGTGTGCCAGACTGCTCCCTTTCTGGGGGTACCGACTAGTCACTAGTCATAGGCCTTGTGTTCCCAACATAGTCCTTTCAATGACTAGCAGATTTCTTTGGGAGTCGGGCTGCTTGTGTACAGAACTGGTGTAGGTGAATGTATCATTGAAAATTCTTTGTAAGCAACAGAACCAAAATCTGCCTGTTAGTCCAAAAAAGGATCTATATGGAGAACCTATCTATGGGCAGCAATTATCAGGACAGGCATCCAAGGAGCACCAAAAACTCACAGACCATCTGGTCAGTGTGCTTGTCCTGGTGACCTGCGCCCAGTGAACCTGCTTCTCTGCCCGTGTAGAATGCCTTCAGGTTTTGAGAATGAAAGGTCCTGGGCCCAGCCTTTGGTCCAGGATTGACAGGACCATGATTGACCAGTTGAGCAGGACAGCTGCAGGTCAGATTCCAAGCAAAATTGGGGTACCTTATTAAAAGGAAGAATGCCTGCCACACTGGTACCACCACCCCATCTTCCCATGTGGATGCACTGTCATCTGCCCACATTAAAATCCTCTCTGTGGAAAAAAGGAAGCAAAACTCCCAAATTCTAGTCATAATAAGCAGTAGCCATCCTGAGGCTGCCTTTGAGATCACACTTGTTCACAAGGCCTGTTCGAGATTGGGGCTCCACAGGCCTGGCACTCCCTACACCAGTTCAAGGTCCATCTTCTAGCCTGATGGGGGTGGGCCAGTTGGCAGAATGTATAGCCAGAGGAGCAGAGGACACATAGGTCCTGGTCTTGGCATCTGCCTTGTTCCCAAGGTTTGTAGCAGCTTTGCTTACAAAGCAACATACACACCATCATCCCAGGAGGAACCAGTAGCCTTGAGTCAGCACCACGAGTGAAGCAGTTACAGGATTATCTGGGCTCAAGACCAGTGAAACACATTTTAAAGAAAAAAACCTCATTTCTGCAAGCACACACCCCTCTCCACAGGAGCATAAATGTAGAAACAAAGATCTAGAGCAGTGCTTCTCAACCTTTCTAATGCCGCAACCCTTTAATACAGTTCCTCATGTTGTGGTGGCCCCCAACCATAAAATTATTTTCATTGCTACTTCATAACTGTTTTTGCTGTTATGTCTTAGGTAACCCCTGTGAAAGGGTCATTCGACCCCCAAAGGGGTCGCCATCCACAGGTTGAGAACCACTAATCTAGAGGAACCTCTTCCAAATTGGTACATGTCTCTGGGGGAGGGCTCTGAAAGTATTAAATGAACTCTGAAAGGCTGGAAATCTAGACTGGGCATGTGGACCCAGGGAGCACAGCATATCCTGTGATTGCCTCTTTTCTGTCTTCTAGCACCACTGTCGAAACTGTGGCCACATCTTTTGCAACACGTGCTCCAGTAATGAGCTGGCCCTGCCCTCCTACCCCAAGCCTGTGCGCGTGTGTGACAGCTGCCACACCCTGCTCCTGCAGCGCTGCTCCTCCTCTACTGGTTCCTAAAGGCCTCAGAACAGTGCCAACCTGCAGGGATTCAAGGGGCTCAGGAAGCTTGTTTCCCAAGAGTATCTAAGGGGAAAAAAAACAAACAGGCTCCTGAGTCAGGCTGCTGGCACTGGTGGCCATGTGCCTTTCATTTCACTTGTATGGGAACTTCCTTCTCACTTGGCTGCACCACTGGTTTAGGATTGAAGTAACTTCATGGTTTTGCTACTGTCACTTTTCACTTTTCAAAGAGTTAACCTATTTTGCAACAGTTGTACTAATGTACTGAGGAATCAGTTCCTATCTCCCACTGCCCTTTTATACCTGCGCTGCTTAAGTCAAGAAATGGGCCGTTTCACACCCTTGCATCCATCATTGGCTCTGCAATGAAATAATTTTTTACTCTAGTGTAGAAAATGAAGGAGCTTGTGTTAGCTTCTGAAGGACAGAGCAAGCCCATTTCACGACTAAAGGCCCTTTGGGGGCTGTTTTTGGGGTAAAGCCTGCCGGGTTCTGGGATACAGGCTGTGCTCTGCTCAGGTGATCCATTAAGTCCATCAATTGGCAAAAGAAGTGACCTTAAGCCTGTCGCCAAAGCTCATTACAGATGGACACACCTATGGGGTTTGAATTTCAGAAGCAGTGCTAGGACAGATGTTAGCTGTGGGCTATGAAAACCAGCTGAGCCTTCCTCTGAGCACATGCTCACCTCCCACCCCCAGACAGTAGTCAGTGGCCTCAAATGTTCAAAAAACAGTAACTGTCAGGGATAGTCAGTCCATTCATGTACTAGGCTTCAGTGCACTGACCCTGACTCACCTTACTGCCCTCTTGGTAGATTCACCTTACTTATTGCCCATCTGCACCTCTCACCAGTCCTCCCTCTGGAATGCTCCCAGCTAGCCAGCCCCTGCTGGAGGTCCTGGCTCTCTGCAGAAGGCTCATCCATAGCCTGGTGCAAGGTTCCACATCTGTTCCTTTAAATATATCTTTATATTATATAAATGGGAGACAGAGGCTCCATGAGGTTAAGTCCCAGGATCTGTGCAGCCAGCCTCCAAAACCATGCCTAACTCCAAAGCCATGAAACCTATCAGGGGCTAACCCTCCTGGCCTGCCCAGCCTCCCTTGCGGGCTCATAAGGTGATGTGTAGGAGGCAGCCCATCGGATCAGTTTCTCCCTCTCCTTTCCTCTCCAAAAAAAAATTAGTAAAAACATTTTAAAAATGAAATATTCATGGCCTGGCCAGTTTGGTGCAGTGGTTAGAGCATCAGCCCATGGACCAGAATCCTGGGTTCAGTTCCAACTAAGGGCACGTACATCAGTTGCAGTTTGTCCCTGGCCCTGGTTGGGTCGTGCGGGAGGCAGCCACTCAATGTGTCCCTTTCACGTCTCTCTCTCCCCACTCCCACTCCATCTGAACAAAAAATGGAAAAAAAAAAAAAAACACAAAAAATTAAATATTCATGGCCCAACTTTCCCCCAAACATTTACCTACTGCTGTACTACTCTAAACTGGTCTAGCATTAGATATATGTAACTTGTCTTCAGTGCACCCTATTCATACTCCAGCTTGCTGGGGACCCTTAGGCATGTCACTTCACTTCTGAGCCTTAGTTCTCATCTGCACATACAAAAGGAAGCAGGGTAATAGCCCCCTACTTCTGTACTGTTCTGAAGGCTAAGTATATGACATGCCCATCCACTGTGCCACACTTAATGCTCTTCCCTTTAGCACACTTATTTTCTCCCCAAACCAACAAATGTTTAACAAGCATTATTCACAAAGAATCCTTGTGCCAGTTACCAATATTTAGCTGCATGGAAGAAAGAACATTTTACTCAGACATCAAATGAGCTCCTGAACTTTGAGGTCGTATGGTCTGGCAACCTTCCCGACCTGGATAATGACAGATGGTCTAAGACAGTGTGCTTCTCAAGCTTAAGTACACAAGTTGACCTGGGGATTGAAGTGGAGATTTGTGTTAAAATGCAGCCCTTTCAGGTTTGGCTCAGCGGTTAGAGCGTTGGCCCACAGACAGGAGAGTCCAGGGTTCGGTTCCCGCTAAGGGTATGTACGTTGGTTGCAGTTTGTCCTGGGCCCTGGTTGGGGTTGTGTGGATGGCAACCAGTTGTCTCTCTCTCACATTGATTCTCTCTCTCTCTCTCTTCCTCCCTCTCTCCCTTCCACTCTATCTGAAGATAAATGCAGACTGCGTGAAGGTTCTGGTCATCCTTAACAAGCTCGCAGGATGCTGGTCCATGGAACACAAAGTTCCTAAGAACCCACAGAATGTTCTGGGTTAGCTTACTCAATAGCTTTACTCCATGTTTCTAGTTCTGTCCCTTTCCTTCCCCTCCTCCATGTTTTTCAATGAAAATGTTCCTTACTTAAAACAACTAAAGGACTAGGGGAAGGAACACTCCTTGGGCCTTCTCAACACCAGGTGCCTCCAATCCACATTGATCTCAGGCAATATTAGATTTAGATTGTAGTTGATCACCAATGCTCACACTGAAAATTATTAATTTCTAAACCTGCTGAACTGACAAACATTCCATGTGCAACACTTACGTATCCATAACCCTTTCCCCAGTGTGAAGCAGCACCAGTAGCCAGCAGAGAGCATGCAGCCAGGCAATGCTTCTACTTACAGACTTAGAATTGAGTAGACCCACCCAACAAATCTCACCCAGGAACAGAGAAGACCAGCACTTGTCACAGCAAGATGTGCACACATCAGGCTCCAAACAGTACAAGCCTGTATCTGCAACTTAAATTCTACTCAATGCAATTGAGTCTACAGCAAGCAGTAATTTTCAACCGGTGTGCCACAAGAATTTTTAAAACATGCAATACCTGACTATTTGGTCAAGAGCACTAACCTTTTCCTTAAAGATTGTCAAATTTAAATATGAGTCCGACCAGTGTGGCTCAATGGTTGAGTGTCGACCCATGCACCAAGAGGTCGCTGTTTCGGTTCCTGGTCAGGACATATGCCCAGGTTGTGGGCCCAATCCCCAGGGGGGGCATGCAGTAGTAGGCGGCCAATCGATGTTCTCTCTCATTGATGTTTCTCTCTCCCTCTCTCTCTAAATCAAAAAAGAATTTTTTTAATTTTACAAATGAACACAGCCCTGGCTGGTTTGGCTCAGCAATTAAAGCATTGGCTCACAGACCAAAGGGTCATGGGTTTGATTCAGTCAGGCGCATATACCTGGGTTGCAGGTTCGATCACTGGCCATGGTCAGGGTCATGCAGAAGGCAACCAATCAATCTCTCTCTCACATCAATGTCTCTGTTTGATCTAACAATCAATGGGAAAATACCCTTGGGTAAGAATTAACCAAACAGTAATATTTTAAATTAAAAAAAAAACAAAAAAAACAGCCAACACAATAGCTGCCTGGAATGAATGCCCTCTTGAACTATATGTCATAACAGAATTGCATCGTACTGGTCATGTCACGTAATAAGGTTGCATCTGACTAATTCTTCGTACCAGAAATCCTTATATGCAAGTACAGGCAGCACCTGACTTAAGTCACTTTGGAGCAAAAAGGGTTTTGTTGTTTCTGGAACTCACCAAAACTATTGCCAGGTTGGCAAAAAGTATTTTTGGTGTGCCAGAGTATTAGTAATTTTTGTGTGCCATGAGTTGAAAATTGCTGGTCTAAAGGGATGGTAAATGAATGGTAGTTCCCAAACTACAGTCTAAGTATCTACTGAAGGGATTACTAGAACTATTAATCTAGCAAATGTCAAATTTCAGTCCTAATCTACCAAATAAATATTAATGACTTAAACTAGCCATTTTTACTTTCAGAAATATGTGGTATTTTACCTCAGTAGCTTGAAAAGAATTTTGCTCCTAAGTGGTCCTGGATCTTTAGGAATGAGACAAAAATATAAAGATTAAAACCTCAATTGGAATTCTCTAACCTGGTAGCAACTCCTCTCCCCTCCCCGCCCGCCCCACCAGGGGCACTACCCATTAGCCTTCCTCACTCCCAAGCTCCAACTCCAAGGGCCCTTTTTCTTTTGCCTCTGTAACTTGTTTCCTAAACCCACTTCTTCCAATCTCTGTAATTTTCTAAACAAACGTTCTACTTTGGGGAGAAAAAAAGTAACCTTCGACTTGAAAACATTTTATGAGCTAGCTTCTAGAAGACACTTAATATAAAAACTCAAAAAAGCCCTGGGCCAGGTAAGCTCATTTGGTTGAAGTATTGTCCTGATACGCCAAAGTTGCAGGTTCAATCCCCAGTGAACACAAATACAAGAAATCAACCAATGAAGGCATAAATAAGTGGAACAAATCAATGTTTTTCTCTCTACTCCCCCAAAATCAATAAAATATAAAATGAAAAACTCAAAAGATGCTATCCAACTGAGGACAGCTTCAACCACCCTTTGCCTGTTGCTTTTAGCACTTCTCAGCCATGCCTCAAGGCCTCTGTGGACATGCAACATGCAGTGAGGACACTTCTGCCTCTACTTTGCGCTTAGCAAATCAAATGCAGTACACAAACATATAGCCCCTCCACAAGGGCCCCAAAGCCAGGATTACCTTCTGTTGTAGTATTGGAGGGAAGTCTGAAGACATCTACACAACAGCCTCAACTGTAGAGCCTCTCTGTCACAGCCAGAGACATGGGCCACTGTCACCTACGCACCAGGCAGGAATAGAGCACCAAGAAACAGTCCACATGACACTGAAGCATAGACAAGACAAAGTGCAGTTTTTAAAAGGAAGATTTATTTGACAAGTTTCACTTAGCGCAATACACCTATAAAAGAAAAACACAATACAATGAAAGACTTAAATCAAGGCCTTGGAATTTCATACAAACACCAAGACCAAAATCCTAAAGTATTGGTATAGCGTCTCAAATGTTCCCCATTAACTTAAAAAAAAAAAAAAAAAAAAAAAAAAAGCTTAAACTTACATGCCTTAGAAGTTATTAAATGAAACTAGAATTAACAAACATGCCAAATATTTCACTTTTAATTGTAGACACAGCTCCTATAGTTTTACAAAACAAAAACAAAAAAAAGCACGTCTTTCAACATGCTTCCAAACAGTGTTCAATGTAATGTGTAAGAGCAACATTTAACATAATTCAACTGCTTTAACCTAAATATACTTACTGCTTAAGTACATCCTACAATAGAACTAACTTGAGAAAAGCTAAAAATCGTTTAACAGTTATAGTTACTCAACTTAGTTGTTACATCCTAGATGAATATGTGTTCAAAAATATTGAACCTTAAGTCTTTAATTCAATCCTGATTTCCACTTAGAGTAAGCCTAAATCACAAGCTGGTATTGCAAAACTGTTAAACTTAAGTTTTGTTTTGTTTTTTTTTCTTTAAAATAATGTTGACCAAGAGTCAGTGATAAGGATCAATTTACATTCCCCATCCACCACTCATACTGGACATGCTAGATATCCCTCCCATTCCGTTCACTCCCATAGATATACGGCTTCCACTACTGTAGTAGCTGCTGTTCACTGCTCCTTGGCTGCCTGCAAAGAGATCAATTTGATAAGTCAGGAGAAATACCACACCGTATCAGTCAAGTAAAATATAGCATTCCAAGAAAAAGTTTAAAAAGTATACGAGTACAAATGGCTGCTGTCCAAGTGGCGAGATGCATGTTTGGGAAAGGGGACTCCCGACTCCAAACAAGTCTCAATTAATCCCTTTTCTCTGCAGTACCAAAGTCTTGCCAGACTCTTGTGCTACCATTTTAAGCAGATGCTTCAGGATCAACATGAAAAATTAAGTTTAAAGGAAAACTAGTGTTTTTCAAAAATTGCAAAATTACTTCATGTTTCTAAAGCTAAACAAGGCATTTTAAAAAATTTTACCATTAGCACTCACAATGTGTCCATCGAATGGTGTGTATGAATAGGGAGCACAGGGGCAGTCTCTTGCCTTTCCTATTCATGGTGGGCAGGAAGTGAGACAAAGTGGGACTAAAGGCATCTCACTATGCCCAAAATGGCAGCTTCCATGGAGTTAATTCACAGCCATTGACTGCTATAGAAATAGTATTAGCACAACATATATCAGTATTTGCTATTGGGAATTTAAATTACATTTTTTGAGAAAATATTTACCTATGCAATGTTTGATTGAAAATCACTGGAGTTTTCCTGTAAAACTTGGTCTGCAAAAGGATTTTGTACGGTAAGACTATAATACCAATATCACCATTCTTTAGACCAATTGAAAAAAATAAAACCAATCCTGTTAACTGACTAGTAAAATACGATCCTGAACCCAACCACCATTTTTACTAATTTAAATTCTCCCTCCATCTAAAATAGTTTCAACACGCTAACCAAAAAAAAAAGTGAACTATTTATTTAATGTTTTAATAAATGAAGGCAGATGTCTTCTGGCTCTACATTATTCCAAGCATATTTAATTTATAGAACACTTCCCCCTCCCAATGATTGGTTCTACAAAATAAGCTATTAAAAACCGTTATAATCGAATCAAAAGAATGTTATTTAATAACCCAATTTAACCAAAAAAGGAACCTGCATGTTCCCCAACTAAAGAAACCTACCTAACACTTACTGTTAAGTATATTAAAAAACACACTCACCATATCCACTCATGCTGCTCTGGCCACCATAGCCGCCTCCATAACCACCACTCAGCTGCTGGCTGGTTGGGCCACCATAACTGGACTGGTTTGCTGTTAAGTTAAGACACCATTAGAACCTTGTTCCCTATGTAATGTGGTACCCTGGTGGTACCGGGCTTGTAATTCTAAATCTATGATTTTGAGTATATAAATTACTATAACCCTTTGCCTATTTTCTATGAACATACTACCTTTCTATCAATCATTTGAGCTGGTCAAACATTTATAAACCAATTGGCCAAGAGTATAAACTTCGGCAGGACTAAATCCACGATTCTAGAGGCATTCTGAGAAAACCTTTATGAACTATTTAAACTTAGTAGGGTGGTTCCCCATAATTTGATATATAAGACTATGTCAATACATGGGTATCACTGAACACCTACCTAATTATACCCAATAAATTCTGTCCAGAAATTTAAATTATTTTGATCCTATGCTTTTTTCTAAGTCATTAATTTTAGATTTTTATACTTAGACGATTCAACTACTTTTTCTGTAATGCCCTCCTCCCCCCCAAAGTACTTAAAATTGGTAGTTTTACATAACAAGGATTTAAAAGTCAGACACAAAATTCAAATTAAAACTTCTTCCTTTGCCTAACTTAATATACTAAACTGACAGATATAGATATAAATGTTTTGGTTTTTAAAAAAACTAACGATATTTACACAAGCCCATGCCTCCCATCATTTGGCTACCATAAGCACCACCGCTTGCTCCTGCTGTAGAATTCAAGAAGAGTTCTACATATCTGTGTTCTGAAATGAGAGAAAAGGCATACAAGGTTAGCTTAAAAAAAAGACACTAAAGTGATATTTACACAAACCCATGCCTCCTAGCATTTGGCTACCGTAAGCACCACCGCTTGCTCCTGCTGTAGAATTCAAGAAGAGTTCTACATATCTGTGTTCTGAAATGAGAAAAAAAAGTTTGAAAATGTTTGTTGGTGAAAGAACACTAAGTTTTTAAACAAGATCTACTTTTTTTGTTATATATTAAAAAAAGATACTATTCTATGCATTTTTCTAGGTGATTTACTTTATGCAGCTTTCCAAAACTAGCCTTGTTTTAAATGTTCACCTAAATTACTTTAGGTTTGTAAGGATATACTTCAAGTCAATGTTCATATAACAAATCCTTTTCAGTCACACTAATTTTAAAAACCCACAAAAATTTGTTAACACATCCCCAAGAGTTAACCTATTATCAGCAAAGTTCTCATACAGTCTTACTATTCCTCCATCATGTTAGTCACACAACCATCAATAAAGGCTCCCCAAGATATTTAAATCACACTTACGCATATTTGCTTTGTCTTTCGACATAGCTGCCACAGCATCTTCATGAGTTGCAAACTCGACATCTGCTTCACCAGTTACTCTGCCATCAGGACCAATTTCAATATGTACTCTTACAGGGTTGAGCGGTGAAAAAAACTAAATGCAAGGTATTCCAGAGAATCAAGTCAACTTTCTAATGTTAGAAAAAATTTAAAACATGCTGCTTCACTTATGCAGAATTAAGACCCCAATTTTACTGCTATACTGAAATAGCTGACTTATGAATTCATCTTATACTTACATTATAAATGTCATTCTCAGTAGCTCTATAAGGTAATCCCCGCATGTGTACACAGTGTCCTGTTGTGCTCTGGAAAGTAGAGCCACCATCTCCGTATCTGTGGTCAGACATTCCTGAAAAACAATAATTGAGGTCTAGATGGACAAGAGTGTAAGTAGCCTTCGGTTGAGAAATTCAATTCTTACCTTACCTCTTCCAAATCTATCTGACCCAAAACCATAGCCATCATTATAGCCATTATAATCATCATAGCCTCCATAACCTGAAAGACAAAAAAGCACAATCAATCAAATGAAAACACACAAAGAACCCTCTCCTCACCCCTGCATATTCTCACATACCTCCACCATAAGCACCACGCCTCATCCTTTCAAAGCCAGCTCCCCTGCCAATGCTGTTATACCCTCTGCCAGCCCCAGGTCTGTCATAGGGACCTGGCCGCTGCATGGCCATAAGCTTTCGTGGTGGATCATAATGAGTTCTAACTTCAGCTCGACTGCTCTTAAAGATTTCAATATACCTAAAAGCGTTGTTCATGAAGGAAGGGAATGGGGAGGGGAGAGAAAACATTAGTTCATATCATACAAACATTTAGTTACACAAAAAAACAATGTAGTCATAGCCATGAAACTGACTAATATTTAAAGCCAGATTTCTTATATTTGCATAGGCAATGACCAGAAATTCACTCAATTGTAAGATTATTTCATGTAAACTTTACAGAAAACTCACTCCTCTAAGGCAGAGAGCCCACCCTTAGGGGTGGAGAGGAGTACTGAAAATAAATGTTTTAGGAGGGAAAGGATTCCACTCAACTTTCAACATTTTGTGTCTTAAATGCTTTGGCAACATGTATAGCAAGAGGGCTAAAAAGCCAGCCTCCACCAACAGTCTAGCCCACACTACACATTTCCTTTCGCCAACAAATACCCCAGCCTATGCTTTTAGTAGGAATCAGCATAGGTAAGCGCATGCTTCAATGAAAAATAGTCACAAGCGAAGAGAATAAAACCTTTTGTGACAATTTCTTGAAAGCTATGCTTATTAATACATATGCAGAATATTTATACAGCAAGAAAGTTTGTTGCATTTCAACTTTAAAAACAAGATCAGAAAGTATCACATTTTCTTATGGTAATATTAATTTACTATGTATGTGTGGGTTATTACAGCTAAAGCCAGGTTTGCATTACTTATTTTTTAAAGCCATAGTCTCTCAACTCAATTGATTGGGGTTAAGTAGGCATCTTACAAAATTGTAAAGTAGACCAAATTAACTGAGAACAATTTTTAAACCTAAAATTTAATCTGAATGCATTATAGGACTTTGACATAGTGTAAAATTTGAAAATTGTGGCCAAACATCAATTAACAGGGACTAGGAAATAGATTTATTCCTTCTAAGCAGAGAGAATATGGACTTAATTTTTTTACCATAAGAAAAGTGACAAATCCAACCAACCATCCATCCCCACCTGTGCCCTATTCTTTCCTTGTGTTTCTTTAGAGCCTTTTCAGCTATTTCCTGTGAAGCAAACTGCACGAAGGCCTCCCCCGTACTCCTCCCCTGGAAGTCCACCGGCAATGTTATCCCATTTGGCACGATTTCCAACCCTTCAACCCAAGGACAAATAACCCCAGTAGGGGGGCAATATTAACATCACAAGCCCAGAAATGATTCTTCTTAAAGCTTTAAATAAACCAGAATTTTAACTTTAGGTGAATGGTATGCTTTCAACAAATACTCTATAAATATGCATTGCAGTAAATATGAAGTTCCATTATTACTAAGTATAACAATTCTTAACACACCCCATGGCACAGTATTTAAGAAAAAACTTGCTGAACACAGGATGAATTAAGACTTCAACAATTACAAACACTCTTATCTATTCAACTTAATGTTGAAAATTACACAAGAATAGTTTTAAGCATTAAATACAACAGTTTTACTAAATTCAAGGCACACCTTTTACACCTCATTTTATAGTTCAATGTTTTAAGTTAGTGGAACTTCAAGTTTAAAAAATTTACACATTTAAACATTTTTACATACAAATTGAAACATTGCTTAAGTATATCATTGACAAACATACAATCTAAACTTTCAACAAACTGATCTAGACAACACAATCATGCACTCTCATGCTCTAACAGCAGTATGATTCACTTCTGGAAATCCCGTCTATGAAAAATCCTTTCCGTGGATACATTCCCAAGCTTACAAAAAGGGCTTAAAGCACTTTCCTAGAAGATATGAAATTATGTTCATATTTAACGTTGACAGCATTAAATTCTCACCAATTTAGATAAAACAATAAAAACAGACTTGATTTCAAAAATTCTGGCAAAATATTAGGACTTGATGCATATTTAACAGTCAGGATTTTAATACATACTACCCTAAACCATGAAAGGATTTGTTAATTCCAGTTTATGACATCATGAATATCAAATGATAGTATTTTAGATATATTATTGAACATTCTACTAAACATGCAATTTTATCAGCTCTTTGGCATAAAAACATTCAAATACTTCAAGGCCCAGAACAACTTTAAAACCCTTTCTGTATTTCAAATACTAAGACTATACATTCAACCCATCTTTTACTTTCAATAAGTTTATAATTCCCTGGCTAAACCAGCTGTTGCCTTAATAGGTTTTCTGCATAAAGAGAATTAGACCGTTAGGGACATTTCTGGACCCAGAACCCACTTTGTCTTACAAATATAGACACCTGCCATAAATTACAACCACTAACTCACACTAATCTAATGTTAAGGGATCTTACCTTTAACTTGAAGTACTTTGCTAAACAGCATTGTGAGGCAAGTAGTTAAAGCTGCTGAGGACAAGCCTCAAAGATCTATTCTGAACTATAATACTAAGTACAGGCAAAGACAGCATTTCGAAGTAATTAATTTCCACCATTAAGATGGACATAAATTGTTAAGGTCTCCAGAAAGAAAACATTAATTCATCTGCATATACTCACAACCTGTTTAAATAGCTAAGCTACTCAACTTTAAGATCTATTAAATCATGTTGCCAGTAGCTAGCCAAAACTCACTGCTCAGCAACAAACACAACTACATACCTGAGAAGAACTGAACAATTTCTTCCTTGCTACATCCAAAGGGGAGTCCTCTAAGCCGTACAAAGCCATCATTGGCCGTGTCAGGACTATTTGGACCAGTATGCTTCAACACCCAATCCATTTCAACGTTGTTTGACTTGAATACTGAAAGAGGTGCTTAGAATTAGTCAATTTTGGAAAGTTAGAGAACAAAGTTCAGACTTCCTAGGTCTTTAGATAATCTAGGAAGAGCTGCCACAAACTCCCTTAGGTGACCATTTCCATGCGGTCAAATACCTAAAATTCAGAAGGGATAAAACAGATCTCTCTGTGTTTAATGTTTATTTACTGGTACTAGGGCAACATAAGTCAAACCTTCAACATATCTGTGTCCCATAGTTTCTCTGTCTTTTTTCAGGGCCAATTTGACTTCATCTTCTGATTCAAGTTCAACAAAAGCCTCGCCACTTGGTCTGCCTTCTCTTGTGTAGATGAAACGAATACCTTGAGCCCCATTTTGAATTTTGCAGTCTGGAAAGAAAACAACCGTTAATACAGAATTTAAAATTTAACACCACCTCTGGATGATAGATAAAATGCCTATTCATGCCCCAACTACAAAGTAGATCACATGTGAAGCCCAAAATGACCAAGATATTACTGACTCCTAGAGTTTCTTTGCAGTTATCCTCTCCAGATCAAACTGTATTCAATAGACGATATAGTTTAAATCAATAAATAAAACCCAATATTCAAAGACATTTCTTAACAAAAATCCCCAAGTTCTCCATTAACATCATTGTAACTTCTCAATAAGGCTGGACCTTGTCATTTTAATGCATTTTCTGAATATTTGTTACAACTTTTGGTCTGGGACCTATGACTGTTTTACCTTACTAGCAGCAACATTACAACCCAAATTGCAGGGCCAATACTCACCTGAAAGGGAATCAATGCTACAAAGCTAAAACGCTCCCAGATGAACAGCTGAAGCCAAACCCAGTCCTGCCCACTGTAAGGTGGCTTCCAGTGTACTTGGTTCTTGTTTTACAGGTCGTTTTCCGTTACCAACATTAAATTCAGATAGTAAGTCAATACTACAAGGGTCCTTCCAAAACCTGTAGATTTCTTCCAAATCATCTGTATCAGTCTAATCTTATACTAACAGGAACAAGGACATTTTGGCAGAAATTATTCAGGAAACCTACATACTTGGGGAAGAAAGCTAGTAGGCAAGTGAACTTGCCTATGCTTCAGTGTCAACTGTAAAGTGGGTTATTAATCAAGAACTAGATGAACAAGAATTCCATTATCAAATCTTGGTTAGGAAATTGTCTAAAATTAGTGACAGTTTAACTCTAGAAATAAAAATGCCCCCTTTTCAAGGGCATGCCAAAATTGTAAGTTGTTATACTCAAAGTTTTCCAAATATTACTACTTGCCCAACCAATGGGCACTTTTCTTAAGATTGAGGGGGAAAACCCAATTTATCCTTTCGAAGACACCCACAGAAAAGCTAGTGCTTAAATTAAAGGTAGGTAAAGAAAAAAATATCCTCCAGAGAGACCAGTCTTCCAAGAGCGCCCGGAAGACGGGAAGGCGGAGCTTTCGCAGTTTCCACTGCGTAACAGCGGACGCCAGGGCAAGAGCAGCCCAGCGAAAACAGCTGCTGCACGCGCCCCACCAGGGGGCGCGCCCGGCCCGGCCGGCAGCTTGCCTGCCCGCCCCTCGCCCCCCCGCCCCGCGGCCCTGTTTGCTAACTCCCGCCTCGGCTTCAAACTCACCAGAAAAAAAACGCTGCACTTCGTCCGCCGAGCAAGACCAGGGCAAGCCCCGGACCTTCACCACGAATCCCTCTCCGCTTTCGGTGCCCAACATCATCGTCTCTTAGTAGTGGGTCCTGGCGTTGAAAGAGACTGTAGAGAGAGGATGAGGGTCAGACCCGGGAATTGTTCAAATTAAACTGCCCTCCCGCGCGAAGCACTCCGCGGAACCGCGGCGCCTCCATAAGAACCAAGCCCGTGCGCAAGTCCGAACCCTGGCGACTCCAATACCAAACGCCCCCTTAAGCTAGCGGGTGGGCCGCCAAAGCCGCCTTGGGCACTAGTTACCGGAGCACCAAGCCGCAGGGGGCCCGGCCTGGCGCCAGCGTGGAGGCAAGGAAATGGCGGCCACGCTTCCGCTCCGCCTCCTCCATCTCACACAATAGAGTCGGCGCGGCCTGCAGGCCCCAGCGGCCCTGCCACCCCTCGGCGAGCCATTCCTGGCTCCTGGCGGCAGCCCGTTCCTTGTCAAGGTCCCCCCACCCCAGGTTCTACACAGATCTGGGGGCAACCGATCCTCGCAAAAGCGGCATTCTCAGGGGCCACTGGGCGGCACGCATCGAAGAACAAACACTAACCTGATCGCAGAACTTCAGCGTGGCTGAGCGAAATGGCCAGCGGGCGCCTGCGCAACCTAAATAAGGCCCTTTGAGCAAGCTCTGCGCAAGCGCAGCCAGGTGCCCGTACCGCCCCCTTGCGTCACACAAAGCTCAGACGCAGGCGTACTTTCAAGAGCCGACCCACCTCCAACCAGCAAGTTATTACTTCCAAGCGTTTGGGGCTCAGCCCCTCCCACCTGTATAAACCTCGGGCTTTTTTTTTTTTTTTTTTGCGCCTGCGACTTCTCGCGATTATTGAACATCGAGCTTCAGCGATTTAGTATCCAGTTCCCTGAGCCTGCATTTTCCTTCAAACCGTTCTCTCGCCTCACCCGCCAGAATGGGGGAGGGGAGTGGCGGCAGTTAGTTCTCTATACCGGCAGTATGGCAGTGTCTGGCTCTGGGTTGGGCTGAGGTGGCCGTTTACCTAATCTTACCCCCAGCCTATTAATCGCGCTCCTGGCCGACCCGAAATGAAAGAAACTCCCCATCTCTGTATTCTCTTCCCAGAGCCGTCCAGTGACCACCCATCACAGCCTCTCCCGGGGGCTGCGGAAATGCGCACTCTTCTCTCCCGAGGACACCCCCGGGGACATTTGGAGCTTGTCCTACCTAACAAGTGTGCCTCCACTTCCCCTTACCTACCGCCGATGGACTTGGTCCGCGAAGGGTCTCGGTGCCCGTGCCTCGACCCGTTCTCTGCTTTGTCCTAACGAAATCGTACCCTGCGACCCCCTCTACCCCGCCCTAGGATCAGCGGGCCCTGAAGGCGCCGCGGGCTGCTCCCACGAGGTGTGGCCGGATGCCGCGCCACGCGAGCGATGGCTGAGCCGCGGGTGCGTGCTGGGCTGTGTTTTTCCGAGTGGATTCCCGCTTTATGCTCAAAGCTATAGATACTGTTACGTCCCTTTGCCGGGTGGAGGTCCTGAGTTCTGTGAGACGCCAGGGTCATCCTGTGTGCGCATACAGCATGATGATGTTCATGATTTCCAGCAGCACAGGGAGACGGAGGATGCCCATAGTCTCCCAGGCCTCCCCTTGTCTGATCCTGGTTACGCGCCCCCCTCAGGGTTCTTATATACCGGCAATAAACAACCATAAGGCAGTGTTGGACACTGCAATAGGGTTACTAGTTAGGGAAGGCAAGACGCTGGCAAAGCATGTTCCCACCCATGCCATGGAGACCAAAAATCTGATTTGAGAAAACTGGAAAGGACCTCCATGGAGTAAATGGGAAGGTAATCCAAGATGAGATTCCAGAGATTAACAGGGTGTGATCTTGAAAGGCCATTTAGGCCTTGGCAAGGGTGTTAACTCCAAGTGCTGGGGGAAGGCATTGGCAGGTCTTCAGCAGGCAGCAATAGAAGCTGTTTGTAAGGAAACATTTGAAGGGGACACAAATGGAACAGGCAGGTGAAAGATGCTGCCTGCCCTCAAGTGCAAAGGGTTCTAGAGGAAATGAAGGGCATTTTTGCTAAAGTCAAAAACACTTCCAAGTGTTCCAGAAAGGAGTTCTACGTTTGGGTGATTCAAAAGCAAGGAGGACACTTTTTGTTCTTAGGTACTCTCTCTCCAGGACATCACAAAACACACATCCTGGAGGTGTGTTTTTAATAGGTGACAGTGCCCAGCCAGTGTGGCTCAGTGGTTGAGCAGCAGCTAGTCCATGTCCTATCTCATTGATGTTTCTATCTCTCTTTCCCTCTCCTTCCTCTCTTTCTAAAATCAATAAAGGGGGGTGGAGGGATAGGCGACAGCATTTGAGCCTGTCCTATTAAGTGACCTAAGAACACGGGTTTCTGATTAGAGGGAAAAACCCTAATCCCCTTGGGTAGTGCATTTTAAAAAATCAGATTTTTTTATCTTTTGATAACATGGCCTCGCTTCTGGGGACTTTTTTTCCTATAGTTTTCTGGGATTGTCTGCAATAAGAGTAAATGTATAATCATCATAGAAAAATTAGATCATTTCCTCAACATAGATTTCTAGAAGTAAAATTATTTGATGAAAGAACCCAAACCCGTATGTCTATGGCATCATATCTTGCCCTGGCTGGGTCGCTTTGTTGATTAAAGCATCCTCCAGATAGGCCAAGGTTGCAGGCTGGCTCCCGGATTTAGTCAAGGGTATATACAAGAATCAACCAATGAATGCATAAATAAGTGGAACACAAATTGACGTTTCTTTCTCTCTAAAAAAGAAAAAATTTGTTTGTCTTTATTTTCTAACTTCCTAAAATGCATGTTCTATACTTGCATAATAAAGAAAAGGCGTGGGGACTTCCGGTCAAGATGGCGGCATAGATAAACGCTGTATGGTGTCCTCCCACAACCACATCAAAGTTACAACTAAACTACAGAACAACCATCATTCAAAACCGCCTGAAATCAAGCTGAATGGAAGTCTTACAACTACAGTATTAAAGAAGCAGCCACATTGAGACTGCTAGGAGGGGCGGAGGCGCGATGGGCTGGTCCCACACACATGTGTGGCAGATAAAAATCAGGAGGGTACCATGGCTGGGAAGGTCCTCCCTAAGGACTGAGGGGTCCTCCTCCCACACCAGGCACCCTGCTCAGGGTTCCAGAGCCAGGAAAAGAAGTCTCCATCACTTCTGCCTGGAAAAACCAGCGGGAACTGAGGCTCAGGGAGGATGAGGTGGCTAGAGTCACAGGCAGCTCCTCTTAAAGAGCCCA